AAAAGAGTTCACTTAGTGGTTACAGAAAGTGAATAAGGGATAAAAAATATTGAGTTCATTGTATATAGCTCACTGTATAGACTTGAATCAACAGCTTGACCTTTGGAAGTCTGAGAGCTTCCATTTATCTGTTCTCTAAATATACTTACAATAAAAATGCCATTAGAAGTATGCTGTGAGGATTAATGTCAGTGGAGAACTGTGAGACTCATGGATAAGAGATGAAAAGGAACTCTTAATACCATAGCTATAAACTAATTAAATTTTAATGTTAGTTAAAAATCATACAGCTATCTGGGATAGATTCAAGATGATACACTAATATCAATATTTTATTTATATTGTATTTTGAAGTTTTAAATATAATAAACTATAGAAAGTATTTGAAAAATACAGGAAACAAGATCATGTGATATTTATCTTTTGCTTTGGAAGCAAACTATGACTCTGGATCCTCAGAAAAATTCTAGCTTGCTTAGACAAAATAATTTGCTTTTAATCCGGAAACTCTTTAACATTAATTTTATGGTAACAGAGACAAGGATGTGAGAGCTGCACAAAGTAGACCTTTAATGTGCCCTATCATTACCCCCAGATCTTTTCTCCTATGGCATTTGCACAGTGCTGGGCACTGCTTGCTATTCAAATATATTGTCATAATGATGATTTATTCTTATGTATGCCAATTAAAGTGAAAATGTGAAAAGAGTAGAAAAAAAGCAGTGTTCTAATAACACCTATTAAGAGTTGATATATAGATATATACCTATATATTTAAATATATATAATATATAAATATATACACAAACACAAATTATATATATAATACATATATAAATATATAGAGAAACAAAAATTACAGACAGCAATTTATTTTGTCAAAGGGTTCTTTAGTCTAAAAAATGCTTCTACCACAAAATAATTTTAAAGCCCACTTCTCCAGTATCTAAGTAGGGTTTAATTGACAAATATTCAGATATACATCTCTTCATATATGCATGTGTGTGTGTGTGTGTGAGAGAGAGAGAGAGAGAGAGAGAGAGAGAGAGAATGAATGAAGGGGCACAAATAAAATGTTTATAATATCTCCGAACCAACAAGATCTGTTCATGAGAATTAAGAAATTTTTGTGCCCAGTGCAATTAGCCAGAAACAAAGAAGGCAACAGTTTACTTTTTTAGGTGAGACCTAGCATTACATTTACCCTAACTGCTTTGGCTATTGGGAGGAAGTCCAAATTATGGAAACAACTGCTTTCAGAACTGGAGACAGACGATGCTAGAAGCTGGTTGAATTGGAAAAGAGACTTGGGTGACTTTTTGTGGATGCACAGTATCTCTTAGAGACTTAGAAATAAATTAGTACAGCCCCTTCTCTCATTCTGCAAATGGAGCCGCCTGGAGCCTAGAGAGGAAGAGGAACTTTCAAAGTGGAAGAGCACAGAATATCTCATCTCCAGGTCAGCGCTCCTACACGACCCCACACCAGTGACTGAGCTTTCGAAATAATGTGAGGTGTGTCTTCCTCTTTCTCTTTCCCTTATCTATAGTATTTGTATTCCAACTACTGGGAATGGGGTGCATCAGTGGAGAAAGAGTCAGGGGAGACAGAAATAGTTTATCTTCATGTGTGACTTTGCATCTTCATTTTCTTCCCATCATAAATTCAACTGGCTTCACTTCCTTCTTGAGGGTAAGCCTAGGGCTCATTTGTTGAAATTCTTGAAGTGTCATACTACTACAGATACTTGATAATATTTATTGAGCCCCTACTACATTATGTTCACTTAGATACATTATCTAGTTAATACTGCAAAGTCTATATTAATATGTTACACTGGAGCCTTAGAAACATTTAAGTAACCTGCCCAAAGAAGGACAAGGACTATGAAGCCTTCTCTCTCGGACTGCAAGGACCACATACCACACCACCTCCCACTTTTCAGAGAAGGGTGCTTAGTAGCTCTTGATAGATTGTGATGCCAGAAGGGGCTAGATTGGAGTTGAATGTCACGTTACTGCTTATGTAAGTCTTTTTTCCCAGTACGATCTGAAGAACTGGAGGACCATTACACAAATAAGAAATATTCAGATTAGCAATCAAGTTGACCAGAATTTAAAGAAAAATAATGTAAAACAAAATGTCATCATCAAGTTATTGGCCAAAGCCAATCACCAATTTTGTCAATCTGAATGGATGGGAAATATTTTAGGGGTAGACTAACAAAATATTTGCTTAAACCAGTTTCTTTGTTTTTACAAGAGAGAGATCTTTGGATTTTCTAGTTGTTATGTGCCATGTTCCTGATGGTTTAGAAATCATATTGATCCTTAACCATTACTTGAAAATGATCTTCTAAGCATCAAAAGTACTTCTTTGGAAAAAGTGAAATTGTGATGTGCAAAAAATTTTTTTTCTTAAGACAGTTTAAGGACATCGAGGTGCTTTAAAAAATGATTAATGTCATTGTAAGCTCTCTTTCTGGAAAATAAATTCTAGAGAACCAAGATACATTTCATAGCTTTAAGTATAGAATTATTACTCCACTTTCAACTTTGTTTTTACTGTCTAAATGATCTGCTTTTTCAGTGGACTCATGTTTTTGCACCTTATTGTCCTAAAGATGATGTAACAAGTATTACAAATGTTAGATAATGGCTAGGATTAACACAAAGTTTTAGTTAAGTTCTATGGAGTAGGAAAAAAAAGTCTTGAACTACACTTTGCTGATACCTTCATAAAAGTATGAAATCATTTAGCTTCCCTAGGTTTTACAGAAAACACTTTAAAAATGCTATAAAGATGTATAACAAGACATAAAACTGCAAATATTAACTGTGTATTTCCTTGAAATATAAGTTAAACTTGGTGAGTAGGACAAGAAAATGTCACATTCCTTTCTCTTGCTAAGGAAATTGCATATTTCCTTTGCAAAACTAAAGAATATGCAGTCTTCATAAGCATATATGTGACAGTTTTAAAGTTGTTTTGTTTCAGGCTAAAGGTTTCTATGAATTTTCATGGTTGTCTCAAAGTTGGAAAAAGAAAAGAAACAAAGAGAAAGAAAAACATTAACCTTAGGCATACAAGTTTTGTTTTTCACCAAATGTTAAAAACAGCATTTATGTTATATGCATATTTTGTCCTTTCTAAATATTATCTTGAGTTACACAATTTTTAAATTCTTCATAGAATGAATACACTTTCAAATTTTTGCTTATGTTTCCCTCCGTAAGCTGCAATATTCTAAATAGAAAGTTAATCTGTCTTTACCAGGATTTGCGAAGCAAATGGATATACATTTTACCAAGTGGAAAATAGGGCTGTGACATGGGCATTTAACTACTGATGAGAGCCCATATTTGATTTGGGACCACAGGCTACCATAAGATTTGGTTGACAGCACTAATTTCACTTGGGAATCGAGAAATTCTGGAAAAAGAGAGTCTCTTAAAACATAGGTCAAGGGACTTCCCTGGTGGCGCAGTGGTTAAGAATCCACCTGCCAATGCAGGGGAGAAGGGTTCGAGCCCTGGTCTAGGAAGATCCCACACGCCGCAGAACAACAAAGCCTGTGTGCCACAACTACTAAGCCTGTGCTCTAGAGCCCGCGAGCCACAACTACTGAGCCCGCGTGCCTAGAGTCCGTGCTCCACCACAAGAGAAGTCACCGCAGTGAGAAGCCCATGCACCACAACAAAGAGTAGCCGCCGCTCGCTGCAACCAGAGAAAGCCTGCGAGCAGCAACGAAGACCCAACGCAGCCAAAAATAAATAAAAATTAAAAAAACCAAAAACGTAGGTCAATCAAATTTCCAAAATTTCACTAAAATGAGACGAAGGAGAAGTTTAATAGTAATATCAAACATGGTCATAAGGGCTTTATGTCTATTTCCTCATTAAGCCTCACATTAACCTTATTAGGTAGGAATTGCTACTGTCTCCCTTTTACAAATGAGGAAACTGAGGCCAGAGAATTCAAGGACTTTGCCAAAATTCACACAGTCTCTAAGTGGCAGACCCATGTTCTTAGCCACTCAGTAGGTTTTAAATTGTTATTGTTTATGTCTCATTGGAGAAGAAAATGTGGACAACATGGGAGAGGTCACAAGGAAGTCTGTAAGGGTTGGGCTCCTTATGATTTCAGAACTCAATTCAGAGTGCATGGATTTAAAGTCCTCTGGGAAGACAAGCTGATGAGTCCCAGGATTTCAAAGGGCCAGTCCCAAAGCTCTGAGGGAGACAGGACAGTCCCTAGCTCAGCTCTTTGGCTCCTGGTAGATGGGCCCAGATGGCGGCTTTGGTAGCCACCACAATGGCTTTCCTGGTCTCTGTAGAGGTTCCAGATTGAAGAGAAACTCAGCAGTGTTGAGGAGCACAGAATATCAGGTCCACCTGTGGGATACAGCTAGATGCTTTGTCCAGCTGCAAGTATGTTGCAGGAATAAATGTACACAGGCACATAGATATGTCTATGTAGAGCTGTGGGTTCTTTTTGCCTTACATTTTTTCCCTTCATTATTAACAGTACAATAAAGAGCTTAGCAAGTCTAACTCCTAATTTTGCTTAACAGTAAAAACAGCTTGCTTCTGAATTCACAAGATTCCAATAGGGTCCCTCTGTAGGAATAACTTTTGTTAATGAAAGAAATAATGTCTATTAGCCTGCTATAACAAGAATAAACCAGAGTGCATTTTATCACAATTAATGTTAAACACAGCATGTTTTGTACTCCAAATATATTTATGAGAAACATATAGTTGTGTCTCATACATATCAAAATAAAATAAAATAAAAATAAAAGAGTTTCTGGCTATTTAGTGCACTAGTTTAAAAATTAAACTAATTTGATCATTTGCCCTATAATATTCCTATATTTCAAAAGTATATGTAATCTTTTTATGAGCACATAAACTTATGACCAACATTACTGACTAGAAAAACTTTGTGATTTTAATCCTCCCCAAATGATCAAAAGTAGTATATTCTATAGAACTCACCTTTTGCCCATTCATCCCTGGAATTCCGGGCGCTCCAACAGAACCCTAAGGAGACACATGATTGAAATAAATCGATATCATAATCACAAAACATTTCAATTCTGAATTTATATTGTATCAGATATGTCAGCCATAACTTTACCTGGCTAAAAACATGTCTGGGAGGCTGTTTTTCAGATCTTATCTACTGTGTTCAAATATACAATAATGTAAACAGATTCATCAAGCTTTTCCAAAAACCATTAAGTTAAATTTAACCACGTTTGTAAATATCTACTTAATGCTAATAAGATTTTAAAGAAATTCACATCATAAATTGAGTTTTAGAGCTATCAGAAGGCCACATAGCTCTAAATTTGGGTGCTTTTAATAAACATGGCATGGACATATATACACTACCAAATGTAAAATAGATAGCTAGTGGGAAGCAGCCGCATAGCACAGGGAGATCAGCTCGGTGCTTTGTGACCACCTAGAGGGGTGGGATAGGGAGGGTGGGAGGGAGGGAGACACAAGAGGGAGGGGATATGGGGATATATGTATGCATATAGCTGATTCACTTTGCTATACAGCATAAACTAACACACCATTGTAAAGCAATTATACGCCAATAAAGATGTTATAAATAAATAAATAAATATGTAAACACACACACACGCACACACACACACAAAAGAATTAAACTTGCCGGGGCTTCCCTGGTGGCACAGTGGATAAGACTCTGCGCTTCCAATGCAGGGAGACCGGCTTTGATCCCAGGTCAGGGAACTAGATCCCGTATGCATGCTGCAACTATGAGTTTGCATGCTGCAACTAAGGAGCCTGCCTTTCACAACCAAGGAGCCCTGGAGCCACAACTAAGGAGCCCACCTGCTGCAGCTAAGACCTAGCGCAACCAAATAAATAAATATTTTTTAAAAAAGAATTAAATATGCTTAGTTTCATCTGGAAAAAGCCTAGCAGTAGCAGTAACTCCTGAATTTCATGAAATTAAATAACATAAAATGAAAGGTAATTAAAATAACACCCACTTGCTCCACAGTTAGACAAATAAGGGACCCATGTTGTAAACTCAAATTTGTTGTATTTGAAAGCATTTCCCTGAGACTCTCAGGGAGTGTGTTTAAACCACATGAGTGTGAATACATCTTCCAAAGTAGACTAGAAAGGATGTTGCAAATGGTAAACACCAGCTAGGAACAACACAACTTCTACACATAAAATATTATCTTAAGTGTGTGTGTGTGTGTGTGTGTGTGTGTGTGTGTGTGTGTATGTGCATGCACACTTGGAAGTGTGCACACATGCACTGGGGTGATTACAATGATTGGACCATAGGTAGTTGAACTGAGAATCAGAAAGCTAATTACTACCTGAGAAAATCTGACATTTAACTGGATACAGAAACATTAACAAATGTTTTCAAATAGTGATTTCCCTTCACACACCTTCCTTTGAGGCTCTGTAGAAACCATTTTTAAATAGGATGTGCTTATTTTTTGTTTAGCACTAGAAAACAGATTTTTCTTAGTAGCTGTATAATATTAAATTTTTTTAAGAATAATGGAAAAAAATTAAAATAGTAATTATAAATCTAAAACTGCTCTAAAAAATAAAGTTTATTAAAAATATAGTCATTACATGCAAAACAAATTGAGATAGCAAGTTCCTTAGTGCTTTCTTGGTGATTATATTGAGTGACTCATTAAAGGACTTCCCGAAGCCTGAGGCAGTAATTTCATCCTGGTCCCATGTGGATTAGGGTAGCTTTACAATTTCACACCATACTTAATAGAGACATTATTGCTAAGGACAAATTGTTCCTATACACAAGTTGTCTCACAACGCATTGGCTTTTACTTGGTTTGTGGGATTATGTTTCAACAGATGCCACATGCCCAAGCTTGGGGGATAAAACATCTCTAACTTTGATGGATTCCAAAGATAAAGAATAATCACTTTTCCACCTGTTGTAATACAATTATTTTCTTTAGTTTTCTGCAGGTTAAATATCCTTTTTTGTCATCTTTATGGGGTGGGAGGTGTGATGGGGAATGGGGACTTAGTGATATTTTATTGGCAAAGGGCCATCTACCTGCTACTGATGTACTGATGTAATTTTAGAAGTGCTAGACTTTCTCTATCAGAATGTAAAGGGTCAATTCTGACGGCTCTGGATAACGTTGAAATGACAGTCAGGAAGCCAGTTTTTGGGCTACCTCAGCAAAGGAAGACACTAGTGGACAACTTAAATATAGCCACCAAGCAACAAGAATATCCTTTGTTCTGGTCTAACAGTCATTTAACAATCACATATTTGTGCAAGACCACGCAATTAATTTGCAATGCCTTATGACCCTTCACATTCTAAGTTTTCTCATGATGTTTTACAAGGATTTGAAGTAAAACCTCAATAACCTACAAGTTTGGCAGACAGCTTAAAAAGAGTCTGCTCTGGATTTATTGACTTTTCTATAATAGAGTCGATTAGAAATCGAATGGCTAACATTACATGACTGTATTTTTAGAAAGCAGAATGCACAAACCAGACTGCTTTGGCATGACTTACAGTAGCTAATTCCATTCACTTCTCTGACTAGCCATTAGGCGATGGGAGTATAATTACCTTCACAGTATTTTTTATACTCTACCTTTTGTCCTGGAGACCCCAGAGGACCCTAGGAAAAGAAAAACAATTCAATAAACATAATATCGCAACCATTTAAACTTAAATGACTGATTAAAACTGTCCTATTCTGTAAGGTTCTATTGATATTTGTCATGCTGAAATATGGTGATGTTTTGTACATCAAGGAAAATGAAAATTTTCGGTTGGAAGTGCACAATGGGTCTTTTCTTCTCTCTTGTTCTCTTTTGAAGAACATTAAGCATATGCAGTAGGATTCTGATTTTTTCCTTTAAAAAAAAGGGTCACAACATTGTAAATCAACTATATTTCAACTAAAACGAAACAGAAAGAATCTTTGCCATTCCAGCGCATCTGTTTCTTCAGATACCTGCAAATCTATCACATCAGTCTCATATAGAAGGCTGGAGATGTTACTACTAGAAGCACTTAAAATACAACGCAGTTCTCAGCACACTGACACGTTCTATGACTTCTGCATCTGCAAAACTTCAGGAAGCAGATTTGCAAAGGAAATCATTGAATGGCATTACAAAGAAACATGTTTTGCTCTATTCTTCCTCTTATGAAATGTGGCCAACTGACCTGCCCAAAAACTTGTTTACAAACTAGGCGATGCCAAGGTCAGTTGTGGCATGTAGTGTGCACCAGAAAAGGGAACAAAAGATGCTGTCAGCTGTTGCATAAACTGTGACACTGGGGCAGGGGAGGAGAGGAGAAGAAATATAATATTCAGGAAGACGAATGGGAATATTTACATTTAAAATGGAAATGTGGCAGTTCTGAGATTTAGCAATTTTTGGACCACAAAGTCAGTGCTGGAATTCTGTTGGCTTTATTTAGAGCGAGGCATGCTTTGGGATGGTAGAAAAGAGCACAAAGAGAGCTGTAATTCTGACTTTTGATGTCTCTTTTTAAATAAAAATATTAAGCACTTTTCTTCCAATTCTTTCAAAAATACTTTTAATTTCAGTATATTTTAACAAAGTTATAGGTACTCTATCATTCCATGTAAAAAGCTCTTTATTTCATTACATTAAACTAACGGCTAGCTTATTTTTAATGTGTGACATTTCAGTTAATCAGCATCTTACATTCAGACTATAACATAAAAAAAGGACTAGAGTGGTAATCAGAGAAAGAATTGGTCATGCATAATTTTTTAATTAAAAATACACCACGTTTAGGAACATTCAGAGAATCTGTTCCTCATAAATTATTTTGTAATCCTCACAGGAAGACTAACAATTTCCTCATATAATCAGCTTTAGGTTACTGAAAGTGCACTGTGCAATATCACCTTTATAGATTCCTTTTTTAAAATGTAGGATGTAGTTTCATTGACTCGGTGACACTGAACGCAAGGACATCGAATGTTAGACATATGAAAAAATTAATACTGGCCTACAAGCCTAGGAACTGCAAGAAAGTGAATTCTTTTCTTTTTCCCTTTTTATTACAAAAAATTTAAAACATAATAAAGGGTAGGGAGAGTAATATAATGTACACCCATGTATCCATCACTTATATGTAACAATTGTTAAGATTTTGCCATATATATTCCTTTTCAATTTACTCAACCTTCTTAATGAGCTTGTTATCTCATCTATCTGTGTGGTCTGACCTTTTCTCCGCTTATCTCACTCCTTCAATTTAAAATTCTCCCCGTCTTAGATTTTGCAGAGAACACAGAGGCTGTCAGGCATAAATTCCCCCAACATCATGTCTCTCATCAACTCAAACCCATGTGGCCCTCCTTACTATATCAGAGGAGGAAGATGCTCTCCTCCCACTGGGCAAATACATCCAGTAGACTCTGGAATCCATCCTTGCCTTCGCCCTCAGGGCTCTTTCTCAATCAATTATCCCTGCATCTGTACCAGAGCCTCCCACTCTGCACCGGTTCCTTCCCCTTAGCACATAAACATGTGTAATCATTTCCTTACTTGGGTAAATTGTTTGGGAAGTGAATGTTAATGCTAAGTAAAGGCAGAATTTGGAAGCTGTAGTGATAGGAGATCTGAGAGTGAAGAAAAGACTTGGGTTTTATCATTGCCTATGATTCCATTTTTCCTAGTGTCTCCAGAGTATTCCACTTTTTAAAATGTTGATGTTAGAGAGGAAATCATATAACAAAAAGTACATTAATTCAATGTTTAGACTGAGAATGTATATGTTCAATGCAAACAGGTTTGTTTCCCACTATAAACCTAACTGCCACTTGAAAAAATATTGTTCACTAAAATTGGGCATTTCATTACATTGATATATAACCCTGGAAGGGAATATTTCAGATTAAAATAAGAGCAAATTTTAAACCAAATGTTTTAACTAGAGATGAACATATCTGGTATTTTCTAATCTGGTCTTTGCTGCATGATCACAGTAAGTCAGAGATTTAGAAAGATTACTCACAACTCTGAAATCTATGAAATTATATTAGTTGTATATTTTAACACAATAGTTAATAAAAGTCAAAGGATGGCTATAAAAAATAAATATATTATTTTTCTCACTGTTAGAAAACTACGGCCATTTTTGCTAAACTCCAAAAATAAAAGCAGTTTTAAAGACAATATTAATTTTGAATTGTGAATACATATCTTATAAATTTCCATAACTATGTTGCCAAGGATATATCCTCAGCTACCAAAAATGTACATATACTCCTTTGATCTCGCTGGCAGGAGAAATGGTAACAAGCCAAAGATAGTGTCATTGTTTTAGAGAGGAACTGGGAAAAAGCAACGTTGAATATAAGGCACAGACATACATTCGAGTAAGTACACACACACACAAATAGCTATTTTGATCAATATTTTGCTCATGTATATATTTTTTGAGCATTCTCTGATTAATAATCCCATTATATATCTGTGACATTGTGGTCATAAATTTAAGCTTACAAATGAAAACTTCACTGATCAAAAATTGATTCTGAAGTTAGGGTATGCTACTACCAGTTGGTTAAGATGTCTACATTTGAGTACTTTTGTAGTTTCTAGTACAAATACAAATTTATAAAGGAATGGGTAAATGTCATAGAACCACTGACTGACTTATCTAATCTTTCTTAAACTTACTTATATTCTCAGCCTGAATAATGACTTTGATGAAGAATGTCATATATTCATTATTCACTTGTCAAGCTAGTGTATCTTATTATTCCTAAAATTAAAACTAGTTGTTCTAGTATTCTAAGATTTCTAAATAATTCCATTATTGTTATCCCCATGTCTTAAAAAGTTTGAATCAAATAGTCTTCCAAACCAAAGAGTCAATCTTTTTAGTCCATTTTTATCAATCAACGAATTGCTCCTTTCTTAGGTATTTTCTTGGCGGGCACTTTTATATTTGCATATACTTTGCAGACGACCAATTAAGATGAGAATAATCTGGTCTCTTTATTTTCTGTAATCATTTCTTTGTATATGTCTCAAGATTGGAAACTGTGTAATATACAGAATCTTAACATGTTAAACTATATTTCTTTAAGTTTAACTCCAGAAGCGTTAAACTATAATTTAAACCTTAAAATGTACTCATTTCAGTATAGGCTCTGGGTGATGTAGAATGTATTAACTTTTTTCGTTAAAGGATTTTGCACAATGGACATAACCTTATTCAAAAGATAAGAACCACATGAGCCACCGAAAAGTTCTAAGTGTGGAGTAACGACCTCACTTATCTGCAGATAAATGTTTACACCTAACTTTCATGGTCTTTCAGAAAAGACTATGGAGAGCTATGAAAACTTAAAAGTTCTAAACAGGTGGGAAATTACACAGTGCACTGATTTTCTTTCCTGTTTTCCCCACTCCCACTAGATTCCATTTTTAAAGATTATGGAAAATATTATGTAGAATATGGCAGTCAAGTAAGTTAAAGAAATACTATAGTTCCCATTTGGTGATCGCCTTTACTAAAGGCGCATTACTCGGGCCTGAGAGTGATCGTTTATTCCTCCGCCTCCGGGTGCACCAGATACTATACTTACTCAGGAACATTCTCCAGTCTGTCCTCTTCTTCAGCTGCATTACCATGCTCTTGTTCAACCCGCTTCTCTCTCACCTAAGCTACTGTGACACGCATCTAAAAGCCACTGTGTTTTCAGTCTTCTTCAACCCTTTCTACACAGTGCTGCCCGAGGGAGCTTTCTAAAAGGCTTACAGGTTTCTACCTTGCCTCAGCTGAAAAATCCTTCCATGGCTTTCCATGGATTTTGAGAGAAAAGTTCAAGCTTTTGTAACAGTTGTAGTTTGCCACATAAGCCATGCTTCCTCATCTCTACACCTCTGCACCTCTGGTTGTCTGGTCCTTTAATGGGCTTCTTCTCCCTGGTCCTGTCTCTTCCGCTCATTCCATAATTCAGGGCTCAGTGCCTCCACCCTTGGGGCTAGGTCACCTTCTTTTGTTTTCCAAAGCACCCCTATGACAGCACTTCTTTCCCAGAATTTACCAACAATGTTGTGATTGTCAGGTTACTTCTTTCTTCACTCTACATGTCTTTTATCATACACAGAAGCTGGCACAGTAATTGCTCAGTGAATCCTTTTGGGTTCATTCATGAATTCATCCACTTAGCAGTTTTTTGAATGCCCATTGAGTGCGAGGCAATGTTCTAGGCACTGGGGATACAGTAGTGAACAAAATTAATAAAAATGCATGCCCTCCTGGACTGCGTAGTCCAGTGAATGGAGAAAGACAGTAAAAACATAAACAAGTAAAATATAAAGTTGTGTCGGGGGTAAGTGTTAAAGCAAATAGGGGGTAGCGATTGGGAGGAGTGGATGTGGAGGCATTTTAACTTGGGGGTCAGTGAAGGCCTAGGATAAAGTGACTCTTGGATAGAGCCCTGAAAGAGGTCAGGCAAGACAGTCATGCACGTAGAAGGAGGAAGAATGTTCCAGGCAAGGGAATAGCAAGTACAAGGCCAAGAGGTGGGCATATGCTCAGTGTGTTCAAAGAACACGGAGGAGGCAATAGGTAGGTAGTAGAAGATGGGGCTCTGGAGAGGAGGGAGATCACATG